ACTTAGCCCATACACGACCAAATATTTCATTTGATTTGAGCATGGTGAGCCAATATATAAAATCCTTATGAAGAACATCTAGAAGTAGTTTATAAAATTTTGAAGTATTTGAAAGCTACACCAAAAAAGGGATTATTGTTTGGTAAGATTGATAAAAGATACATTGAAGGGTATACAGATGTTGACTGGGCTGGTTCTGTAGATGATAGGAAGTCAACTTCAGGATATTGTACCATGGTTTGTGGTAATTTGGTTACATGGAAGAGTAAGAAACAATCTGTGGCGGTTAGGTGTAGTGCAGAAGCTGAATTTCGTGCTTTAGCAAATGGGACTTGTGAATTGATTTGTCTTAGAAGACTTCTTCGAGAATTGAATCTTCCAAATTCAGACCCGTGAGATTATTTTGTGATAATAAAGTTGCGGTTAATATTGTCATAATCCGGTCCATCATGACTGGACAAAGCACGTTGAAGTTGACAAGCATTTTTTGAAAGAGAAGATTGAGAGTGGTGTAATTGATATGGCTTATGTTCCAACGACACAAGTTGCTGATATGTTGACCAAGGGCTTGGCAAAACCTGTCTATGAGAGTTTACTTGACAAGTTGGGAATGATTGACATTTATGCCTCAACTTGAGGAGTGTTGAAGCGAAGAGTTTTTTAAGAGTTCAACCTTTTATGGCAATCTTCTTAATTATGTTTATCTGTTTTTTGTTATTAGATAAATTTTCTATTTTATAAGGTTCTTTATCCCTTCTTAGGATGTAAATAAAATCAAGTTGTTAGGAATTTATGTTTATCTCTAATTCTTGTAGTAGGAGTTTATGTTTATCTTTACTTTTTTTAGTCCTATTAAAACCTCTATATATTAGAGGGATTTAATGAATAAAAACATATATGGTATCACAATGATTTACCTTAATTCTAACATTTTTTAGTTTGTTAAATTGGAAAAGATGTACATTAATACTTACAATTCACCTGTTGTGATATAAACTTTAAACAAAAAAATGTGCGATCTTATAACTGACCTTGTAGAAGTTTAGCGAGTGCAACAGTGAATGGTACTCTTATGGTTTCACAGCAAGACTGATACTAATCCAAAATAACTAAATCGAAACATTTGTAAAGTCCACTTGCCTTTGATCTCCGCCATGCTATTCTTTTGGACACAGATTGAGAGAGTGTTTGGTAGAGATTTTTGGGGGAAGAATTGATTTTTGAATAGTGATATGATGGGAAATGTGTGGTTGAAAAAGAAGATAAAAGTATTGATGTGATGGAAAATATTATTTTATTGAAAAATGTGTGGTTGAAAANGTAAGCATGTTACAGCATAAGGCACATCATAACATCTATGAGTGTGTTTGGTAAGGATTTTTGGGGGAAGAATTGATTTTTGAATAGTGATATGATGGGAAATGTGTGGTTGAAAAAGAAGAAAAAAGTATTGATGTGATATAAAATATTATTTTATTGAAGAATGTGTGGTTGAAAATGAGAATTGATTTACTGTAGAAAATGAGAATCTGTACCAAACAGGCTCTGAAATTGTTTTGTGAACATACATGGCAAGATTTGGTGTTTTCACTACTTATGGGTTATTGCGGAAATGGACAATCCCTCGCTATTAATTAATTAATCTGCAACTTGGCAGTTGGCAAACATTCCCATTAATTTTTTCAATTTCACTTAGTCAAGTAAAACATTTTCCCCGTCACTCTCTCTTTATGTGTTATTTTGCGTTTGATACCACAGAAACTTAAACATTACTTATCTCATGATTAATTTATTTTTCAATAATTAGATTCTGATCCATTTAATAAACGGGTCAGTTTCATGTCTACACCATCTTACTACCTGTCTGACACATATGACAGAATTACTCATGCATATCTAAAGACTGTTTTTCGATTGATGTTTATCACAAGAATTATCACCTGTGCATATCTACAGGTTCAGAGTCAACATCGGGTTGTGCATTCTTCATTCACAAATTAATAAAACTGTGTAACTAAGACAGTTAAACTCATTAATCTGGGACAATAGAACTGCTACACTAGTTAGCATGTTAGTAACTGAAAAGTCAATTGAGGTCTCAAGCTCATAATAGAATACTAATAATATTTTATTATGCAGTGTCTTGTTGACCCATTCATCAGTGGATCGCGTTCGGGCTATGTGACTCCACTTCCATTTACATCAGCCACGAATTAAAACTATTCATGTTTCTATATATCTAAGCTTATGTCTTTTATAATTATAATCTGCTTCAAAAATGATTTCACATGCATATGCAAAGGTAAATAACAATTAACAAGTTTGAATGAAGAATGTAAGTATTTCAAGGAAAATTTAATATTTTCCACTTCTAGTTTTGATGACAGCAAGTTTTTGAATAACCAAATTTAAATTTGATATTTATATAATTGAAATTTAGAATTCAATAAAAATTAATTTCACAAGCAGTGTGCAAAAGGCATGCACATGATTTGGTCAACATGGCCTAGTACCATGAACGTGTGGCAGCAACATAAATGTCTAAATTGAACGTTTCTAGATATCTCTACTTCATAGTTTCCAATATAATTTTAGTAAATCAACTTTGCACCAAGGTTTAATTTCATAAGCTCTGACTGAACATTGATAGAAACAATCTTAGTATTTTTGTACGTACAATCCCGGAGAACCAGTTAAGCAGAACCATGTTCTTTGTACTTGCTTGAAAATGAAATTATGGTGAAACATGCTAAATTGATAAACATAATGTACTACTATGATGCACCGACTCGGACACGTGTGTCCAACACAGTACATGTCGGTGTCAGCGATTTTTCAAAAAAAACACTGGCACGACACGTCGCCGGCACGCAGATTAAATTCTTCATTTATATAGTATAAATTTAATTTTATACTTGTTATTAATTTTTTTTTAAATTTTTTATTTATACTCATGGATAAATAATAAATGATTATTGAAACTCAATTTTTATAATAATATTTTCAAAAAAAAAAAAATGTTCATGGAGGAGTGTCAGTATCGGCACATGTCAGACACGGGCACGCTACCCCAGTTGAAGTGTCCATGCTACAAAGATGTACTGAGTATATGAGATGTCAATAATCTATACACATTACATGCCTACAAATTCAAACTGGTAGCCAGAGAAAGATAGGAAAAAAGAGACACAGACACAGATCTAGAAGATGAGAAAATGGGGAAACCATAGTTACATGTTTGTTTTTCAACAGGTCCCTTTCAGTTCATTTCCATTTGTATCCATATCTCATTTTTTAAATGGCTATTCAGTATCCCACGATACACAACACAGATTATTGCTCTCCAAAATAATCTCGTCACTATGTTTTTGCTTATATTAGTAAGTACTAAGTACTAATAAAAATAAATTTAACAATTACAATTTACAGCAACAAAGAATGGTTCATAGAGAGACTCACAATGACAAAAGGTGGTTTTGAGCTGCTAGAGTCTGCCTCAAAGAATTTTGACTTTTCCCACCATGCATACCACCTAAATTAGAAATTACTAATTAGAAGGACAAGGAAATCGTAATAAATCAAGTATCCAATAACAGTGATTTTTTTAAGCCCCAAACTTACGATTTCTCAACAGCACTGGGATTGAACGTCTTTGCCATTTGACGAGACAGCTTTTTCTTCTCACCCACAGGTGTTTCTGGGTCCACATAATCCTCAGGGTTTTCCTCCTCGGCTTCTCTTTTTACATTCTTTCTCTTCCCTGACTTGGGAGCATTAGAGGTTTGCTGTGCCTTCAGTTGAAATGAAAAGCATAAATGCAATAAGCAAAAAGAAACTAGGAGAAACAACTGCATTATCCCTTTAGGGGTCAGTATAGAGAAACTCCAAGCTAAGAGGGCTACAGATGGTAGTACACCTGAAGTTTTGCTGCCTCTGCTTTTTGCGCAGCCTTAAGTTTCTTCAACTCTTTTTCTTTAGCCTATGGAAGAACACGTGAAATGACAGTAGATTTAGTCAACAGTTCAAATAAATTAAATAATCAAAAATAAAAAACAGCACCATTTTGCACAAAAAAATCCAAGTCTAAATCAAAATCAGGCAAATTAAAACAAAACATCGGTCCTCATGAAATCCATGGACTCTTCTCGTAAGCAAAAGATTAGTACTAAGAATTTTCCAGTCTTAGGAAAACAATGCTGCAAAGCCACATTTAATCAAGTGAACTTGGAACTAAAAGATTCTCTTTTATTTCAAAATTTTACAGTGTCTCAAAGAACTTCTATATTCCGAAGAACTGACTTCGTGTCTAATTCTAAACCATAGCCCCAATCCCAAAACCATGTGGCCCTGACGTAGCCTAAGAGAATCTCTAATTCCTTAAATACTGAATTTGTGATGATTGTATATTTATAACAAAAAATGAATAAATTATATTTGATTCTCAAAAGTCAAACCTTTTCTTCTTTCTTCTTCTGCTTTTCCAGCTCATCCTGTGTTAGTTCCCGTGACTCCATCGACGATCCTGCCTATCACAGGAAAAATAAGCTGTTTTAGGAAAAAGAACCAACCAGGTGTCCTTTCTTTCCTTAAAACAGTATCAAGGAGACAAATCCACAAGACCAAGCAAATAATACAAAATATTGCAAATTTAAGCTACAGGAGATATAAGCCCCTTCGTGAGCACAACACAATCAAAAAAGTATGTGATTATGGAGGACAATGATGGAGATAAGAAGACACCTGATAAGAGAAAAATAGTGGATTCCATGGTGGCATGAGATGGTGAGAGTAATGGACGAGGCAGAGATAGAAAAAGTATTTGGGTATTAAGAACTTGGGATAATGGTATAGTAACTAGTAACTTATTCCCAGGAGAATTTAATCATGGAATCTTAATTTGGAAATTAAAGAGTAAGACTCAAGCACACAAGTAAACAAATGAAAGTGTTAACGTTACTAATGAAGAAAAAAGTTATAAACGTTACTGATGAAGAAAAAAGTTATAGGGAACAACATTGAAACGTCAAAAAAGAAAGACAAGAAAATCAACACTGAACTATGCATCCTACAATGAATTTCACAGTTTCTTTATTTCGGATATGGTAAATATGAAAGAAGGCAACCTTCCAGTGTATAGGGTTGGGCACGATCCAGGTTAGGGAGCACAATCGAACTTGCAAAAAAGTTGGAAGAAATTTTACAATAAAAAATTTAAATCCAACAAAATCATACCTCTTGTAATTTTGCATTCGAAAATTTACATGAAATATAATTTTTTCGGATGTTAAATTTTGAAAATTTTTGGTGTCATGTTCCATATAAATTTCATAATAATATAATGCAAATTACAGTGAGAAATTTATATCACAAAAATAATAAATGTTAATGAAATAATTGTTTTTTTAAAAAAATGCAAGTTAGACGCCCCTTTTTAAAACCTACGTTTGACGCATCTTTAACTATTTTCGATATCTGTTTGAACTATTCGATATACCTATAATGTAGTCTTCGAAACGAGCTTTGAGATGATATAAGCGATTTGTAGATTCGACTACTGTACGATCCTCGGAGAATTTTTAAAGTTAGCATGTTATCAAAATTCTCGAAATACTAATTTTAAACCTCCTACTTTGACAAATCGTAACATTCTCGAAATACAATATTTCGATTTCGTTTCACATCATTGCATGTTTTGGTACTTTTTGTTGTCTTCTCATTTTGTGTTTTAAGTGAGTGTACTGTTTTAATATGCATATTGAAAGGTAAGGGCTCACATTGCCTTCTTTTCGTCCTTCCGTTTTTCTCAACAATGAGAGGTGGAACCTATGGTTTCATTTATAAGATACCCATGGTGCTTGGTCGCGCCCCTGCCCCTGGTTACGCAGTAGCATTTTACTTTCTAAAATTAAAAGTGCCAAACTTGAATAAGAAAACATAAAAAGTTAAAATTTCAATCAAGAATTTCACATAAACAGAGAAACTTTCAAATCCCCCAAGAAAATGAAACGATAAATTAACAATCAAATACAATACATAGAACTTCAAAATGCATAAAAAAAAAAAAAAGAAAGAAATTGTTTTCCTTATACAGGAGCTGAACACAAAGAAATGGAAGGAAAATCTTTAAGTAGCTGAAACCCATTAATTTAGTCAGGGGAAAAAAAATTAAAATTCAATAAGAATCGCTTTAAAAAATAAAAATAAAAAAAAAAGTTAAAGAAAAGATTAACCACAATCGAAAAAGAGCTGAAAATTGATTTTCAAAACAACAGCTAAAAGTTGATGTGCAGCTACCTGGGTGGTGTAACTGGAGTTGATGCTGGTGTTGGTGCGTTTAGGGAGGCTGCTAGTTGGCGGCGGCGGGTATTATGGCTTTGTCCGGCGGGGTGATGGATGGTGTACTTTTCAAAATGGCAAGGTCTACGTGGTCATTTCTTAGTTTGACCAAATTGTTTAAAAGACAATAATATTATTGTTAAATTATAAAGAATTCCAAATACCTTCCATTTAAAATTTCAAAACAAAATCATTTTCTTCACTGTTTACTCCAACACAGATAAAAATTGATATTTCAAACTTGAAATCTCATAAATTTATCAAACGGTCAACAAGAAAATATCATTTATATCAATCACTTGAAATCAGTAAGTATATTAACACATTTTTAATTTTACTTTCATTAAATTAGTACATTATTTTAATCTTCAAATCTTATTTCGATATAAGCAGATAAAAAATTTATGATCTTAAACGAATCTATAATTTTTTTTAATAAAAATGAGAAAAAATTCATCTGTATTGTATATATTATTTCAGACAAATTTATGATCGTATGCAAAATCACTAACCCAGGCAGATGGTAATGAAGAACAGCCAACCCAGACTAAAAATGGCTCCAGCCGGCCCAGCCAGGTTTTTTACCCCTTTTTTCCACGTAATTATAATTTTTTTAACAAATTATGTTCCCTAACGCATATATGAGATAACTTACAATCCCGATTTGTTACTTTGGTGAATTTGAAATAAATGAAAATGGTCGATGGACTTGAAAATGAACAAGCGAAAGACATGGTGTTATTGCAATTGTGATGACATCGAGTACATCATATGTAGAAATGTACCATGATATACATAACAAGCTCAACGTTGATCCCTTTCAGTACGTCATGGAATTTAGATTTCTGTTCAACGAGCATACATCCATTTCAATTTCACATGCAAATATTACTTATGAAGATGAAATCCAAGTTTTAATTGAATTGAATCAAAATTGCACGAATACTCATATTTGCGTAACTTTAGCCAAAAAGAATGTCCATGAGAGTGAACACGAAGATCCTAATGGAGGGGATTGTAATGTGAATGATTTTTGGGATACGGTTGAGATAGTTCTTGAGGATGATGTAGTTATTCTCGATAACTGTTACGCATAGAATTCCCTTGATAGTTCAAGACAATGAGAATGAAAATGAATTTACAAATGAGGATTTGATTGCTTTATCCCGTCGGGGACATGAGTCGGGAGAGATCTCACAGGCTGGAACGAGTACACGGACCTCTAATTGTTCACGTGTAGTTCAAAATGATGAAAATTTATATCGAGCAACTGTTTGAAACAAAGAAAAATTTGTAGAAAGCTGTGCACCGGATTGCTTTGAGACATAATTTTGAGTTTAAAGTTAAAAAATCGGACAAGTCGACGTACACAATTATTTGCATTGACAACAGTTGCCATTGGCATTTGCGAGCGACGAAAATGGACACGAATGAGTTCT